CACGTGCCGCGCGTTTATAAAACCACCCAGATCTGAATACAAGCAAACCGTACATCTGAAGTTTCACAAATAAGTTTAAATTAGCTTACCAAATGCCTGTTTCAGGAGATGGTACGAACACCCACAGAGGAAGATTTTAATTTAGTTTACAGCCTAAAATGCAGAGTTTTTGAGCCGAAGCTAACATAGGTAACTCACGCTTACCTTTAATTGAAGTAGGGCCCAGAAGTTCACAATGTAGGAGTTCAGCACCTTCTCGATCCAATTCGTGGTCCTTTCAGCTGTTACGTCGTGGGTCACCAATTGTTGTGGCTTATAAGAACCACATTGGCGTTCAATTCAGCTGAAGTGGTACCTTAGTTCAAAAGATTTATTTGACAACGGATTACAAGTATTCAGAAGATCAAAAACAAATACAATTGTATGCATACAAAGGGCATTTTCAGACAGACCTGCATCAGCGCCAATCTTCCAGCAAAATGCAACGACCTCTCCTGTGACTCTGCACCTTATCCTAGATTTCTGCAGCCTCGGCTTCTGATTGGTTTAAACACCCCGTTGTCATGGTTATGGGGCTCTTCTGCCTGCTAGATAAGTCTTGGAGGTCACATACCATAAGATAAAGTTTATGGCCCTTTGTTAGCTGGTGTTTTAGCTGAAGATTTTACCCTCAGCTGATCACACTTGTTAAACGATTAAATGCTACTTTCTATTATCTTTACTAATTATGTTTAGTCAACTATATTAAGTTTAAAGTAGAGAAATGTGCTCAGAGACTCTTAACGTCCCCCAGCCTATGTGTGTGCGTGTCAGTCCCTGTGTGTGTGAGAGCGTAGGTGTGTGTGAGTGAGAACTTATATGAATGTGAATTAGCTGAAGATTTTCTCTAGTTAATGTAGTGAACTTAACCTGATGTCAAAACTAAGCCTAAGGTCAAAACCCTTGACCTTAAGAACCTTGTGGGACAGAAACTGTCATTTCATTGATTTGAATCCAGAAATACAGGTTCACCCATCCTGAGACTTTCTTTCTTGAAAATCAAGTGAAAGAACACTCTCTTTTTATTATCATTACTATTTTACAAATGTTGATAATCAAAGTGGCTTAGTTCAAACCATTTTAGATGTTGCAGTGAACTAATCAATTTTATTAACTGTGAAACAGTGTAATGATTTTTTAAGCCATATGCAGAGTTAGAATTCATGTTAAGGTCTGTTACAGATTTTTATGCATTTTCTGATTTCTGTCTTTGAATGAGCAAGTGTGCGTTTTCCAAGGTCAGGAGTCGAAGCAGACATGTGTTGGAACAACTGTCTTGTTTACATCCTCTCAGACGTCAACGGAGGAGTTGGCACCTGTTTCTAAAACTCGCCAAAACAAAACTCTCTCTGTCTCTGAGAACAGTGTAATCTGTTCCATAACAAGTCTTGCTGTTTTCTGACTTCTAGTAACCTCTTACATCACAAACCACACCCCTGTCTGGTTGTTTTTGACCAATCAGGGACGATCAAATATACCGGAAATAGAGCTCTTTAAAATGCCGGTACTTCCTGGTTCTCCTGTCTGAGCAGTTCGGCGGCGCGGAGAAGTTCTGAAATGTTCGCAGTTCTGTGAAGTCGTTTGGGAGAACAGAAGTCCAGCCATGATAAGGCTCCTCCGAGTTGGATTATAACATCTTCCACCTCTGAGTGGAACTTCTGAAGGACTCCACTCATGTGAAGTCCACTTGCTGATGTGAGCTGGTGTCGGACGGAATCTCGTCACTACTTCGGACGAGTCACAGCCATCCTATGGAGACGCTGGACAGGTAGCGTTAACTGGACCTCCATATCTGCTGATTTATCTTCAGAAAGGTAATGAGTCAAGTTTCCTACCAAAGCGTACCGAGGAAAAGCTGGGTTCTAATGGAGAGTGTCGGTTCTGGTCAACACTTCCCCTCACACACCATCTTTTACTCCCTTTAAACTTCATTTCCATCTTTAAATTCTTCTCTCAAGTAGAAATCCTTCCAGATAATTTAGAAATGTCTGTGTAAAGTGCTCATCCACCGTCGTGTGGATAATTGATCATAATTGTACAGTTTTCATTGATGTCTGCTGTTCTGCTGAAGAGTGGAAACAATCGCCGCATTGTTTCTCACTACCTGTAAAGCTGTTAATTATGTTGTTATTTTCATATTTTGCCAAATTAATGTAAATGTTTGATGTTAAGCTTTGATTCTGTAAAATAAATGACCGCATTCATTTTGATGGGTCAAAGATAAATGACGTCTCACGTTTACATTTCATTAAATTCAATGCACGTTTTATTCAGTCCAGAAAAATGAAGAATCCGTTTTAATTGATGAATATTTCGCAGCATCTGTTCATCTACATTAATGTAAGATTATATTTAAGCAAACTACCTGAAGTTAAGATTCTATTTAAGCAAAGTAACTGATTAATACTTGAATGATTGTAAGGTAATAAAAAACCCTTCAAAGAATGACACATACTTACTCATTTTATAACATGAAATTTCAAGCTTGATTAAAATAATAATAAAAAATAAAACATGAAATCCAACATATACTATATATACATATACACATAAACACACACACATATATATACTATAGTATGATCATCCTACACTAAAAGATATGATAAAAAGTAAGTTAGTAAATTGTTTTGGTGCAAAGTACACATGGTATTATTGTGTATTTACACAATTTACAGTGTGCAATGCATTTCCTGAACCGTAAGTAAATCGTTTTGGTGATGCTTTGCGTGTAATATGTGCGCGACTTCAGGTGAAGCGAAAACTCGGTTTGTTTATGTGTGAACAGTGCAAGCGAAGTTAGTCTGAGCTTTGTGAATTTAAACAATATAAGGACAATATAATCAATCTGCTGCCTTAACTGTTAACGCAGGGTGTCATACAGCTGTTATTCAGGGCGGATTGAGGCGTCAGGGTATCATACAGCAGTTATTAACAAAGTATGATGATCTGACAGGTTAACTGCTACGTGATGGTGTGATATGGCTAATTAAATAGAAGTGTATGGTGCTCTTGCAACAGACAGATGGAGCTGTCAGTTTGCGCTACGTGCATGGCAATCAGTGCTACGCATATGGCGATCTGACGATGTATGCTGCCTGAACAGAACACGGCAGTAGTCGTGTTTTTTTTTTTTTTTTTTTGCCGGCCAGTCGGTCTGTCTACATTCTAACATATCCAACATTTGACTGGGAAGTTTGATATGACATAAAATTCATATCCCGGCGATATCTACCGGTAGTATATTGTGATGAGAAGCTACACGAAGCTACATGCCAACTACGGCCAGCTGGCTTCTCTACTACTTAGCTCTTGAAGAAAACAGACTTTCACCATTTATGCAGATTTCAACTCAAAAAAACATAACAGTAAATATCGCTTTTTACTTACTTACACAGATAACTTTTAGCTTGAGGAGATGACGCCCTGCCCGGCTCCAATACTCTGGTGGAGAGGACCCGGGTAGACCAGCGGATCACCATCTAGCTCGCTCTGAATTTTGTCGTCAGCCAGCAAGCACAAAACAAAAAACAAAAAAACGCCAGCACTTCAGCATTAGGCCACGGTGTTGTCATTATTCCAAAAAAGTTCAATCTGGTCCTCTGGACATTGAAAAAAACAATATGATTGTTTTTTTGAATGTCCAGAGGACCAGATTGAATTTTTTTGGATTTTTCTACCTGGATTATTGAGCATGCATCAGGATATGTTGTCATTATTGTTTTTAAAATCTTTGAAATAGGTCCAGCCGCTACTCAGGTTAGAGAAAATGCAAATAGCGGATCAGTGTTTTGAAAAGTTTCTGAAAGATCCAGTGACTCCTCCCCCTGACCAATCAGTGACCGACAGAGCGCTGACATCACATCTGGACCCAACAAGAACCAGACCTGGGACCCCAGAGAAGTAGATCCCAAAAATCGTGCGGGTTCCACCGCTGAAGGCACTGTGGAGAAACTACGCAATCGGCCCAAACTGGTTACATAGGAGCCCGAAAAGACCCTGTGGATAAGGGGCTTTAGTGTGTGTGTGTGTGTGTGTGTGGGGGGGGGGGGGGTGTAACAGAGAGGTTTGAGAAGAAACTGGGGGGAAGGAAGGACAGGGCCAAAACAGGATAATGGGGACAAATGTCAGTTTCAAATTACATGACCATGCCTTGCAAGATTTAACTTTGGTCCTGTTTACTTCTCTCCAGTTGTTATTGTGTTTTTCTTGGGCCAAAACGGTTGGCATGTTTTAACAACTCATTTAGCATACTTTCACCAGTGGTTCCAGATGAGTAATTTATAGGGAGCATGAGAAGTCCAGGCACAAAATCAAACAAAGGCAAAACAAAGATCCTCCACTTTCTGTGGGTGGTTTTCAGAGTGTGTGGAAGTGTGAAAGGTTTAAGTGGATCCTGTGGTGTCTCTACAAACTCTGCTGGTGATTGATAGCCTCACTGAGCGGTGGGGGCTTCCAACCACTGAAATGGATTAAAACTATTAGCATAACAGTGGGTTGCACCTTTGTTTCGATTCTGATATTCTACTCCACAGTCTATCTCCATAAGCCTATTAAGAACCTGTGTCTCAGCCTATTGTCTGTCACCTTTCATTGTGAGGTGGATTACTGCTCCCATCCAGACAGGGTTCACATTCAAGAAGACATTAAGGCCCAGCGTGATGAAGGGATGAAACAATGAGCTCACAAAAACTTTGTTTTCTATTCTGAGCCCAGAACTAAAGTTGCATATTTCTTTTTAAACATGAAAACTAATTGAAGAATGCAAACATTATGCACAGAGAATAAACCAAAAAAACTTCATCAACCTCTCTCCCTCCATCTGCATAGCTCCTTTTTTAAAGGGTGGAGGCACAAAGGATGGGTTAAACTGTGGAATATAGGGGGTGTAGGGCTGGGCCTTAGTACAGGAGGAAAAGGGGGCTGGCTATATAAAAAGTGCCCAGGACACAAGTGGTGCTTTATCTGCCCTGTCCCACTCTGGGTAAGAGTAAACCCTAAACTGCTCAGGCTCAACCAGCTTCGCCCCTTTTATCATTTTCCCTCTCTTTTTCTCACCACCGGTGTGTGTGAGCGTTCAGGATAAGAATGGCAGCAGCATCGCAGAGAACAAACAGGCCCTGGAAAATGTTGCATTTTGCTTTGCTTCTCATTGCTCTGCTTTTAAAAGGTACGTATAAAATACTTTGTACTGAGGGGATCCATTCTCAGGGATCAAATAACTGTGGGTTTGGGGAAATTGGGAGGGCTAGGAGGGGTGGGGTTGTAGTGGAGCAGTGTTTGTTTGTATGGTCGGTTAAATCCAGATTTTAACCCTACAACTATTTCAGTAACTGGAATGTAAACATCATACAAGGAATTTTTTAACAATTCCCACAAAAAAAGAGAGTTTTATGTCTTGAAGAGGTTTGCCTAAGATTTAAATTATTCAAGATGCTTAAAGACAAACAGATTTGGATCACACTTTGGTAAACAAAAGAATCATTTCAAATAAACAGTTTTAAATAATGTGGTGGCACAAAAAAACTAAAATGATTATGTTAAGTTGCGAGCCCCGTTTTGAAGTATTTGATATTTACAGCCAAAGTTAAAAGTGTTTCTAGGTTTAGTTTTTACCAATTACTATCTTGTGGAGTTTGAAACATGAACCTTTTCTTACGTTTCATTGATCGGATTTTACATGGCATTCAAGGAGTTAGAAAAATGTGCATGTTTAAATTTAGCTGGCTGTAACATGAGGCCAGTAAATGCATGCGTGAGAAAGGGGTGTGTACTTTGGTTGTAGGCATGCATCTCAAATATGGCTGTGTAATGCAGGGACTTTGGCTAAATTAATAATTGTGCATAAAAATGACTTTCCAAAACCCCAAAAATTGATATGTATTTTTTAATTTAGCTTGCATAAGTCTCTTGTATCATTTAAATAGTTACAAAAATTCTTACATCTTGAATTCTGATGACAATTCTTAACAAAAAAAAGGCCAAAGTGATTTTTTTTTGTGAATACTTGAAGAGAATGATATAATAACATAAAATTAAGGTAAACCTGATGTTGTGATTACATGAAATTGCTGCCTAACTCCACAAACTGCTTCCAGCTGTAGAATAAAAAAAACGAGTCAAATTGAAAATAACAAAAAAAAAACTTCATATTGTATACCCCCAAAAAAATGCAGAAGGGAAATTAGCAACAGAAAAATGGTGCTAACCTTGACAACAACTATACCATCATCTCTTATTGTGGCTAGAAATGAAGTGCACAAAGAGTTCCACTAATTCATTCCTTCTGCTTCTTTCATGGGATGTATGTGGATGAGGTCATCAACCGAGAAGCAGCTGCATCTGATTTGGATCATAAAATTGCACCAATTTCAGCCCATTGATTCATAATCAGAGACATGAAAACATTCATGAAAGTCTTGATAAAAGAAAGAAGTGAAGCAGCTCAAAGCTCCTGACAGACTTTATCTGAATCAAATGTGTATAACAAAACAACAGTTACGGGGCCAATATAGAATACATTATCTATTTTTCAAACTAAACTGTCAACACAGAAGATGCCAATAGAAACTAAGGGTGCATTCACACCAGCCCTGTTTAGTCCGCTTTAATCGAACTCTAGCTCGTTTTCCTAGAAAGTCCGGTTCGTTTAGGGAGGTGTGAACGCGCCATCGAACTCTGTCACGGATCAAAAGGGCAAACTCTGGCCCGGGCTAAAACCTAGGTCTCGGACCGGTAGAAGCGAACACCAGCGCGGTTCGAGTACAGTGTGAATGTAAACAGACCGAGTCCCGCTCAGCAGGGTAAACAAACACTCATTTCTCTTACCTTATATGGAGCCGTCAGCTGCCTTGTGTGGAAAAACAATATTCTCCATGGTCTTCTGTCTCATCTTCTGCTCATGCTAGGTCCATTTTTGAAAAACGACAAAATATAATTCCTAAAACTGCTAAAACTTGATGCCACTTCGTTTTTATTTTTATTTACAGAAGAAGAAGACGTGTCTTCAGAGGTTTTTGTGTCATTTCTTTCAGTAGTTCTTGGTGCAGCGCCCCCACAGGCGAGTGGGGGAATAGGTTGGTTCAACAGGTTGGCTCGACTGCACAGTGCAGTGTGAATGCAAACGCACCAGCTCAAATGTAAACAAAAGGTCATGAATATTGGTCCCGAACCGAACCGAGTCTACTGGACTATCTGGTGTGAAAACGACCTAAGTTCACAAAAGATCATTACTATTGAACTCTGCACTGATTAAATCAGAGCACCATGTGAGTGAGTGGAGTGAAAAAATACCATACCATACCATACCACTTTATTTATAAAGCACTTAAAACAGCCACAAATCCAACCAAAGTGCTGTACAGACAAAACAACAGGTAACACACAAAGCAAAATACAAAATGAGGTAAATCAGAATATAGACATGAAAACGATGCATATAATGATGACAAACCAGTGTGAAGCATACAGGATCAAAACACAGATCATCTTGTGTTGAAAGCTATTGAATAGTAGTGAGTTTTTAAATGGGACTTGAAAACTGAGAGGGAGGGGGCCTGTCTGACAAGCAGAGGTAACTCGTTCCAGAGTCTTGGTCCTGCTACAGAGAAGGCCCTGTCACCTCTGCGCTTAAGACGAGTTCCTGGAGCTGTGAGGAGCAACTGGTCCGCTGACCTCAGGGAATGTGGTGGGACATACGGTTGTAGCAAATCAGAGAGATGGGGGGGGGGACACTGTTCAGTGATTTGTAGACATACATGAGTATTTTGAACTGGATTCGAAAGTGAACCGGTAACCAATGCAGTGAGGCCAAAACTGGTGTAATGTGCTCTTTTTTGCTTGTACTGGTTAAAAATCAGGCTGCTGCATTCTGGACTAGTTGTAGTCATGCAATTGAGGTCTGACTGATACCAAACGGGAGCGAATTGCAGTAATCAAGCCTAGATGTAATGAATGCATGTGTTACTGTCTCCAGGTTATTTTTGGACAATATGGGCTTAAGTTTAGACAGCCGCCTCAGTTGGAAGAAGCATGATTTAACGATCACATTTACATGATTGTTAAGCTTCAAGGAAGGGTCCATTATCATGCCCAGATTAGTGACTCTTTGTTTTTCTGACAGGGTTAGAGCAGAAAGGTCGATGCAGTGGTTTGCGATCGTGTCGTTGGGAGGGAACAACATGACTTCAGACTTCTTTTCATTGAAACTTAAGAAGTTTAAAGCCATCCAGTCCCTGATGTCAGCCAGGCAGTTGAGCAGCGGTTGAATAGAGCATGTACCATTGTGTCTTAGGGGGAAGTAAATTTGACAGTCATTGACATAGAAGTGGAAGGGCATGTTGTGTTTCCGAAAAATAGCACCAAGCGGCAGCAGGTATAAAGAGAATAGGAGGGGACCCAGGATGGACCCCTGCGGAACCCCCCATTTAAGCTATGCCTCTGCAGAACTAAATTCCTTGATGGAGACACAAAAGGATCTTCAGTGAGGTAAGATCTGAACCAATTGAGGGCTGATCCTGTGACACCCACCCACTGCTCCAACCTAGCAATGAGGATCTCATGGTCGATGGTGTCAAAGGCGGCTGTGAGGTCCAACAGGACAAGCAATACAGAATCACCGGTATCTGTGAATCTGAAGATTTCATTAAAGACCTTCAGCAGGGCAGTTTCAGTGCTGTGGAGAGGTTTAAAGTCAGATTGGAATAGCTCTAAGATGGCGTGATCCTCCAGGAAACACTTCAACTGGAACTTGACTATTTTCTCCAGTACTTTAGAAACAAATGGGAGTTTGGAGACAGGCCGGTAGTTGGAAACGACTGAGGGGTCAAGGTTTGGTTTTTTCAGGAGAGGCTGGACAGCAGCATGTTTAAAGGATTTTGGCACCACGCCAATGGATAAACTACTGTTTACTGTGTCAAGAATGGACGGACCCAGAGTTGGAAACACCTCCTTTAGTAGTCGAGGGGGGACCACATCAAAGGGGGAGCCAGAAGGTTTCAAGTTGCACATGACCGGCTCTAGAGAAGATAGAGTGATGGGTTCAAAATGGTCAAAAGGAGCTACAGATTGAGGTGGGATGGATGGGTCATGAGTTGGAGGGGAAATGAGAGCCCTGGTGGTCGCAATTTTTTCCAAAAAGAAATATAAGAAGTTGTCGCACAGCTCAGTCGAGGCTTCCAGAGGTGATGGTTCAGTGAGGTGGAGAACAGAGTTTAGGGTGGAGAAGAGGACACGTGGGTTGTGAGAGTTTGAAGTAATTATATCAGAGAAGAATTTTGATTTAGCAGCTTTTACTGCTTTCTGATAATGGCGCCAACTCTCTTAAGTATTTGAAAAGAGACCTGCAGCCTGTCTTTCCTCCACTTTCGTTCCGCCCTCCTACATTGCTGCCTAACAGCCTTGGTGACATCACTCAGCCAAGGTTCTGCTTTGATTTTTGATTTTTTGGTTTTAACAGGTGTGACATGATCCATAGTCTTTAAGCAGACAGAGTTAAACTGGGATGTCAGCTCCTCAGTGGTGGTGAGAAACACTGGGGCCTGAATTATCATTTCAGAGTTATAAACATCTGTGAAATGTGTGGCAGTGAAGTGGTTAATGGCCTGAGTCCTACGTGCAGGAATGCACGACTTAGGAGTTAGATGCGGGAGGGAGAACTCAAACCGGACTGGCATGTGGTCTGAAAAAACATTATCACCAATAACAAGATTATTAACAGTCAAATCATGAGTTAAAACAAGGTCCAGTGTATGTCCACACTCTTGGGTGGGACCGTTTACATGCCGAGTTAAATTAAATGAGTCCAATAGATATAAAAAGTCCTTAACCAAGGGCTTCTCAGGACAGCACACGTGCAAATTAAAGTCCCCAATAATGAAAAGATGCTCATATTTTGGTGTGATTTCAGCCAAGAAGTCAGAAAACTCATTTATGAAATCCTTAGACCGAGGTGGGCGGTAGACGAGTGCAAATAGAGTTAAGATGTTTGTTAGGCTGATGGTCCTTCTTGAGCATGTGATCAGTTGGTTTTGGTTGTCAGCAGCAAAACTGGTTGATCCACTCTGAGAAGGTGCTATTTAAGAGACTGAGCTGAATACAGCACCTCAGACTGAGGAAGTCTCTCGGATGAGAGTCGAAACGTTTCTACATTTTTTTGTTGATTTGCTTTGT